AAATTGCAAATTTTCTGATATAAAAACCCACATTTTCTCATTAAAGAGATGGCCATGGCCCCCTCCCACCCTCCCCACCCACTCCCATTGATACACCACTGTATGCACAGCATTAAAAAGTTATTGCGCGGCATGGTTTTTTATTGTGTGTGCCTGTGCATGCACGCAGTTTAGAGGGAACTGTGGAGATGTGGGGTTGGGGAGTGGAAAAAGGGCTGTGGGGGGGATGGGTGTGGGGCTTGTGCAGGGGTTTGGAGTAGTGTGGGTGGATTGCGGGGGAGTCTGTGGGTGTGAGGGGACTGCTTGGGAGGGGTGGGTCCCCTGCCCGCCCTCCCCACAAAGTGCACCACAGCCCCCCTGCAGTAGCAGCAGCTGTCACTGGGGTACTCATGGCCTGCTCCTAGCAGAGACCCCTGGCAGCGTGACGCTGCCTCAGACCTAGGAGCTACACATGGCACACAGCGTGTGTCTTCAGGCAGAACCTGGCCATCTCTTGCTGTCACCTGGGCTCCTGGCACTGCAGGCAGAAGCCACACGCTATTGGGCCGGGCCAGCTCCTGCCTCCATGTGTCCTGCACCCCAGCAGGCCAGGCTGGCGCCATGGAGGCAGGAGCCAGCTTGGCCCGATAATGCTTGGCTTCTACATGCAGTGCAAAAAGCCCAGGTAACAGAAAGTGCTGGTCCGGTTCTGCCTGAGGGTGTGCACCAGAGGGATGGGATGTGCAGCACCTGGGTCTGAGGTGGTGCCACGCTGCTGGGGGTCTCTGCCAGGAGTGGGCCATGAGCACCCCAACAGCTGCTGCTGCAGGCGGGACTGTGCACCGTGAAGAGGATAAGCTCTCCCAAGCAGTCCCGTCCACTCACATACAGTTCCTCCACTCAGTCTCCCCACCCCTATGTCCCTACTTACCAGGGACACAGCCTGGGGTCTGATCCACACTGCTAGCCTTGCCTCACTCCTATCTGCCCCACCATGGCAAGGCAGCATGCTGGAGCAGCAGGGGCACGTGGTAACCATAGAGATGCTCTAGCCATGTGCTAATGGAAGACGCAGCCCCTGGTTACTTCAGGGCACTCTCCAGGAATGCACTCTGCACCACTTTTTCCTAGTGTGTTATTTTTTGATACCAGGATTTCCTGGTTGAAATCTGAGTGTCTGCACTGCAAATATGCAGTGCAGGGAAAATTTTTTCTTTCTTAGCGTGCCTCTTGCAGCATCTCAAACTGCTTTGAGGTGCTGCAACAGGCACCTGCTCACTCATCTGGAAGCGGCCTAGGAGTGCATTTGCTACATGTTTAATGCCCCTCAACAATATGAGATTACTCCATTATATTCCACATGCTTACTTCTAATGATAATTCTAATTGGCACTTGCTTTCTGGGATCCAGAATGAACTGCTGCTTAGTGCTTCAAATTCTCTGATAGAATATCAGAGATATTGACAGTCTGCTTCTGCTATGGAACTTCCTTGAATAGGAAATCATTTTCATAAGTGGGCTGACAGGGTGATTCTGCTCATTAATATCACTTTTCAGAAGCCTTTTCTTAGTTTTATTTGTTCAGTTTAGACAGATCCCCAAATGGTTGGCAGTGAAAGATGATCAGCTGAAGACGGTTAGCAGCAATGTCTAGGCTAACTGGAGCAGAAACTGCTGCAGAAGAATCTGTAACAGACTCTTCAGAGGAAGATTTGTACCTTTCCCTTTAACCAAAAATTCCCAGGTATTAGTGGAAACACCTGGACCCCAAATCTGGTGCATTTATTCATAGCCAAAATATATTTTAGTTCATCTATTGTACCCCAGAAACATTGCAAAAGTGAAAGGAAAAGCATTTAGACTCATGAATGCAAAAATGTCTGCTAGAGTAATAAGAGAAGTTTCACTGTCTTCTTTCACAGTTTTGTAGGCTATATTAAAAAAAGATGGTCACCCTGACCTTGAAAAAAGCCTAAGATAGGTTTAAAACCTAAGATAGGTTTAAAACCTGAAACTTGGCATATGCATTCTGAACAAGGACTAATACTGTACTTTGTTTTTATTCAAACACTCTAAAATTACAGATGTGCAAGATTAATGCATTAAGCACATGAATCACCTTCAAATCCTTAACTTCAGAAGGATGTAAGAAAGTTTAAAAGTTTGGTTATCTGAAAGACTGTAAAATCTAGAGGCCCTCACTTGCACACATGTTGCATGATATTAGTTAGCTACACTCTGCTGTAAAAAGGGTTTTTTACAGTAACAGTCTTCCCCACAAACTTTGGGTAGAGATAAAGCATAAGTCATTTTTACCTCAGCATAACTATTTGAGGGAAGAACTATTGTGTTTTCTCTTGACTAGGACTTAGGAAGGAGAGGATGCTTTGCTTTACAATAAAGACACATATTAACTCTTGATTATACCTCCCACAGGGGATGAAGAAATAAAGGAGACTGGTAACCCAATCTGGCAGTCTGAGGAAAAGCAGCTCCCTGTTAGTAATACAGCAGAAGAACCTCTGAGAAAATTAAATCACCATGCCCAGTTAGTTATTAAAGGATAGGGTAGAAGCCCTGAGTGGAACATTGTTTAGGTAAAACCATTTGTTCAACAAAAGGAGCAATCTAAAGGTATCAGAGCAATTCCTACTATGTCTAGATTCTGGTCCTGTAACTGGATCCATACAGATAGATCTATGTGCCTTTGGGGTACAGGTAGAATGGTGCCTGCACAACCTAACTGCAGGATTTAGGACATAAGGAATATGTTGAAAAATATTATTATACCCATAGCTTTAGGTAGAAATCCTTGTTTAGCTAAATATGTTTTTGTCCTATGTATTCAGCTGCTAGTTAATGTGGCACAAAGTGAGTCTGTTCAAAGACCTCTAGCTTCTAAATCAGGGAGTTCTTTTATCATGCGTAAATGCTGCTTACACTTTACCTGCAACAAAGTGCTCTATGAACGTTTTACAGCGCTGTAATTTAGAGCACTTTTTCTAGCGCTATAAAGTTACAGTACTGTGTCGGTGGCAGGGGGCCTCTGAACCTCCCTGCACTTTCCAGGCTAGGAGAAGGGGGTGCTCCACAGCATCCTGTAGCAGCAGGAGACTGTGGACAGTAGCAGACCAGTGGAGAAGACAGGGCTGAGATAACAGGCTGTTACTCAGCCTCTCATCCTACCCAGCCTGCTCCCTGCCCGCCACTTCCCCCCCCCCCCCGGCCCTGGAAGCAGACACTGCCACATGCCTGGTCCCCAGCCATGCAGGGTCTCAGGTTGCGTGTGTGTGGCCACTTCAGCATGCATGCAGGTCTTTCAGCATGCATCATAACCCATGTCCCTACATGCACACCACACCATGTCCTAACCCCCCTCCCCTTCCAGGGTCTTTTGCTCATTCCTCCAACCCTCCCAAAGTTTTGCTGGTGAGTGTTGATTTGTTAAAAGGCAACATGTTCTGACTGACCATCTGGGTTGGCAGGAGCTGCACAGGGCCTGGGGGCCCTCAGCACAGACCCAGTTCTTCCAGCTGCAGAACAAGCTGTGCTCCTGGGAGCTAAGATGTGCCCTCCCCTCTTCCCTGGTGGTGCCAGGAAGCACTAACCAAGTTTGCAAAGCCCACAGGATACTGATGGAATTGCCAAAAATTTGACCAGTGTACAAAAGTTATTTACAGCTCTGTAGGTTGCCAAAGTGCTGTAAAATACAGTAGGCCTGTGGGAAGCAGCAAGCATTCGATTTGGCCGATTCAGAGGGACAGTGATTCAATTCGGTGATTTGAATCACTGTCCTTTTTCAATTCGGCTGATTAGGATTTGGAGAGTTGGCTGCCAAATCGGGTCTAATCTCTTCTGAATTGAACAGGCAGCAGCGGCAGGGGTGTGGCGGTGGCAAGTGGGGCCCCACCACCCACCCAGTCCCCAGCCCCCTCCTATGGCTGTCCTGCCTGGCCCCAGCATCCCAGCACTTAAAAAAACAAAAACAAAACAAAACAAAACAAAAAGCCCCGCACTCAGTGGCTACAGCAGTGGCAATTGAGGCCTCTGGGAGCTTGTGGCAGAGCCTCCCCATGCAGCATGATAGCAGGGGGCAGCGGTGATCGTCCCCCCGCCTGGCACCCACACAGCAGCTGTCGCATCGCGTAGGAGCAGGGTGGCTTGGCAGGGTGCTGCACATTGTCCTGGAGCCTGGCAGCACTCAGCCTGAGCGGCCCCAGCTCCTGGATAGTGTGCGGAGCCCCGAGCACCCTGGTGAGACACACTGCACCTGCGTGA